TGCAAAATTGTTCAACAATACGAGCCAAAAATCTGATTGGACATGTAATTGCTTTTTTCAACTATCCGCGGAAGCTTCGATTCGATCAAACCAATTTGAATATCCGGCCGTCATATAGCCTGTAAGCGGATGGCGTTATTATTAAAAGATTTCCAATCGTAAATCTGTCAGCTCCAGCTTTTTTCCTCTCTTTCTTTATACATATATATTTTATATAGAACATTCGATCGCATCCAGTCGGATTTAATTATAATTTCACCGATGTCCGATAACTTCCATTTAACCGTGAGGATAAAATGCTTTTTATCAACGTTGTCTATTACTACGAAGGATTTACTACTAAACAAGATAAATAATACATGATATAAAATAAATGTAAAATGTGCGCACCTGCGATCAGAGACACAGAGTTAAAATCGACTTTCAATAAGAATTTTCTAACGATGTCTAAGAATCTTCCTATTGTTAAGTAGTGTAAGAAATTATAATCGCAGCTACGCAGAACGCTATTTTCTTAAACTTAGAAGAGACTCGATATCATTGGCTGTTGGTTTGTTAACAAATGCAAAACGAAGTTGATTCACTTTCTCTAATAAGTAGATATGCCGTGTAATTATATCATTAATTATAATCTAACAATTATTTGGATCAATTTTGTGAGACATCAATTTACGTTTGTTATTATATTTATATATTTCGGAGGAAGCAGAATAAACGATAACAGAATACGAAACGATTTGATACCTATAAAAGATTAATTAAAAATATTCATGATTGTAAAAATGAAATTTATTGCTGCCTATTATTTTATTTAATTATTTGCAATCATAAGCTGTGGTTAGTATTAGTTTGTAATATTTTCCTAGTTTTCTATTCTTGTTCAAATTATGTTTGCACAGACAACGTAGTTTCAAGAAATGAAATGTAATGCAAATGAACCTTGCATCGCTGCATCATTCCTATATACAAAATTCGTATAAGGCTAAAAATGATTTAATCATTTATTAATATTGAAACATAGTGAATAAAATAATAAATGATATCTTATACTCAAAGATCTACGAACAACAAATAGCAGAACGATAAGTTCGATAAAAAATCTACACCCTTTCAACAAACGTCTAATTGAACATGTAAATTCCACAAAAATATCGATATTCAACATCATAGTACATAGTAATAGTACATGGACCTTGGTCGAGGAAAGGGTCATGCAACACCAAATATACATTTTTCACGCCTTGTATATAAAAAAAGGAGGTACATAGATAAAACCAGCAAAGCTTCAATTCGAGTAGAAAAATCACAGTACGCGCACGTGAACTGCGTTTATTCCATAAATCGTGATCGTTCATCCTTTTGATACCCTTCGTCCCTAAGAAGGTTGATGACACGGTTCTGATATCATCGGCAACTTAAGCAACAATCTGTATCCTTTATTGATCATGTCCAATTATTTTTAGATTCCGAGTAATAAAAATTAAATTAACATAAAAATGACTCTAAAAAGAAAGTAGAAATCAATGCAGAACCAGAGAATAAGAAAAGTAGATCCTATTTTTACATTCACTGTTACTTCCTCAAGAAAGAATACATTTCTGCTGCCGATCAGTGCAATTGAACCCCGAGTGAACGAGACGGTGCGACTCACTTCCTAAACTTTTTTCGGGCACGGTGATGCGCCTCGAGGCCTTCGGAGAGTGACTTGAGAGTCTTCACATCGACTTGGCTCCGACCGCCCCCGCCCCCGTACCAACGGACCCAGACGGTCATGGTGCCCGGTGGGCCCAAAGACTCGACCTTCCCCGGCCATGCCGGACTTCCTCTTGCTGCGCCCCACACTAGCTCACCCACTTCCAGTTTCCTTTGGCTCTTCTCCTCGGACTTTGTTTCGGCTACTACAACGGTTTTCAAACAAGGCACGATTGTTTTTTCGGTTCCTCTCCTTTCCCGCTGCGCATTCTTATTCTGTCGCTCTGTTTCACGCTACCTCTTTTTCAGCCACCAAATCGTGTGGCGATATTTCGACGGAATGCGGTGAACGAAGTGAGGTATAAAACTCATATCCGAGGAAGCAAGACAAGTGTCGAAGGATCGTGCTCGATTACAGTTTAAACAATTTTTCTTTGACGTTATATAATTCAACTGATTAAACCAGAACTGATATAAATCAATCTTCATCATTTATTGAATGATACAATTTCTCTTTATTTTATAAAAAATTATATTAATGCAAATTGAGGAAGTGCCAAATTTTATATGGCACATTCTCACTACAATCAAATGTAAAAACTATTAGAATAAAAGAAACTTAATTGTATGCAACTTATATATTTAGATACTACTAAAATATCTGCAGTGTTCCATCTAAAAGAATAACTATCGATTCTAATTTCACGGCACGATCCCAGGAACTTCCGTCTGGTTAAAGTCGTGTGTTAATTTCGAATGAACAGGTGCAACGCATAACAGCGAAATGAGTATACGTATGTATGGTATGTATATGCTCTTGGTGCGTGCCTTATTATAATTGCTCGGAAATTCCTTAATTTATGAGACCACTACGCCCGTCCGCGTCGGTAGGGTTTTGCTTTTTACACGTTTGTAATGTGCTTGTTGCTCGCACGGGTGCTCGTTAAAAAATGAATTAGTAGCGTCATTCAATACGGTGATAGGCAAGATCAGTGGCAAAAATTAATGTATGATAGTATTTATGTATATCAGACGATTCGCATGCAACGGCTTTTTCCCTCGATCTATTTTACTCATGGGATCAATCTTCTTGTCGTACAGTTCGTTGTTAATTCGTAAAATTCTCATTACTAATAAATCTGTTGCTCGTAACCCAATCCAAGGATCCATAAAACGCATCTCTCTCTGTTATTACCAGCATTTGGAGATGTTGAAACAGTCGGATCATAAATACCGGCCTCTCGTTTAAAAACGTGAATTATGAACGTGATAAAGTCGCGGATTTACGTGACAAATTTTCAAGTTTCTCGTATTCCGAGTTTCGTGCGAGACGAACCCAGGCCTAAGATTATGCACGCGTGATTACGACCAGAACGTGAGGATGATGATGATGATTATTATTATTATGTACAAGAAATGTCGGGATAAATAAAACCGGTGAGCCACACCGAGAATGAGCAAACGCATGATTTAAAGCCCATCGGCACCATCGATCACTTAACAATTGCGGCGGATAATTAGATGTATATTAACAAACCTGACAGCCAATTAGTAGAAACAAAATAAACAGGAACGTAAAAAATGTCTTTACGATAGATATTATTTACAAGATTGATTAATTTAACATTCGTTGCCGCGGTGCAGTTACGAGAAGCATCGAGTCTCCTACGTTTTTTGATGAACGAAAATACTTACAATTAGTATTGACACCACTTACCTGCTTCGGGCGCTTGCGAACTAAAACGATCTCTCTTTCTGAGATGGTTTCGCTTTTCGTTCGATTATCGGCAACAAAAATTGATAGGTGTAATGAAAGAACGAAGAAATATTTTGTGTGTAAAAAAAGTTGAAAAGGAATATTTTTCATTCCGAAGTTCTATTTGAAATAATTAATTATTTTCTATACAATAGTATCATTCTTTACTTTTTCTACTTTTACTGAAATATTCCTTTTCTTTATTTCCATATAAATTATATATTTTATTATGTCAATTAAATTATTTCTTTAAAAATGTTTCGGATGTATGATACGCGCGAGGATTCCTTTATCTTAAAGATGAATAAATCTTAAATATCCCTTAAGAATTTCCAAAGCGTACAAACCATGCGGCGAGCTATGATGAAATGCACATGCTGCAAACGGAAGCCAATATGTGAAAAAGCAATGCAATAGGAAATAAGAAGGTCTGAAGTATGTACATGAGCATGCACGGTTCGTCAAGATACGAGGTAGTGTGAAAAATCACATTTATCCACTATGTACAATCAAAAGTGTTAGCGCTAAAAGCGTTCTTAAAAACTAACGATCATAGTAGTATAGTATCCATTGACAAGCAACGCGATATCTTCCTCAAAAATATAAACTACTAATCTAAATTACCATGCATTAAATTAACTTTCCATCAATTACATCACTTGTCAATGTAGAAACTACTATCAGACATCATTTTGATAAACTAACTTTTATCGCGACGACATATGCTTGATATTTAAAAGTATTTAATTTTTAAATAAAATTTCATTTTGGATATTAAAAATTGGGAGCTAAAATTCTTCCGGTACTCTTTTATGATCAAACTTTCCTTTATCAAAATGTGATTCGATACTATAATTGAGTTATGACTAGTTCACAATAAACAACTAAGTATACCATACAAATACTGACCATCTTGGTCTTCATGCAGGGTAGAATGCATGGAATGGATGGAGGCCAGCTTTCGCTTGATTCCGCGGCCGAGGGCATGTTCCTTGCCCTCGCACCTCACCGTGCTCACCACACCTTCGGCTTGCTTCAACGTCTCTGACGTATAGATCTGTCAAATACAACTCGATCAACTCAGGCACAAGCCTACCAAGTCGCATGCTATCAATATCATTTTCAATCTAACCGTCCGTCCGATAATAATCGATCATGTCTTTTCTTACATCGACAGAAACCCATCTCACTTTTTCTCCAGCAAGATTCTCATCATTCTTTCGACCGAGCGTGAAAAACATAAGCGAGATAAATAAGACGAAAATGAAGAAAAGGAAGAACGATTTTTTTTCACGAACACAAACTAAATATCACTATCAAAGCATTTAAACAATTTTCGTTTCAAGAGAAAACTTACGTTTTCTACGCTATCGATGGCCGAATTAAATGACACGTTAAAAAATTTCATTCTCAAGAGGCATGCAGACGAGAAACGATACCAAGGCGACAAAAATCCAAACTTTGATTACGCATGCTCGTTGCAAGGTATTTAGCCAATTCGTTTTGAGCATTTAGGAACTCAGATGACTTTCGTCAAAAAATACTGTTTAGAACAAAATTTATTTTTCTCGATTTACCATTATAAAGAATCATATATATATAAATATCTCTTTTTGTTAATTATCCGTTAACACACGATTGATCATACAAGTTACATTATTGCAATGTATAAGTTTTAGATAATAAATGCTAAACAGGCCGGCCGAACGTCGCCCGGCAAAAATCAGTTTTGTGTTTAAAAATCAATAACGGTAAATACAAACTAATTACAAACTTAATAATCATTGATTAATAACGCGTGTCTGTCCCTTCGCGGATAGAAAGCACTGAACGAATGCCACTTGATTGCTTGTAATTGAAAATGTACAAAATTAATCAATATATTAATAGACCCGTACGAAAGAAAGATGCCCTTACTAGTCCTCGGACGATGAATCAGTGTCATCATCATCGTCGTCAGCCTCTTGCGCGTATATGAATTGATTGTAAACGTATGGATTGATATAGGCCTGTTTGTTGGGCGAATAGTTAACGACAGCAATGCTATTAGGATCAGACCGATAGTTGTACAAATGTGGGTACAGGCCTGTGGGCGCTGCGAGACCGATATTTACAAATTTCTGATAATTCTCGCCCCCCCGATAATAAGTTAAGCCAATGTTCTCGTCCTGTGACAGTTTGTCTTCCGAATTTTTATCGACGGCGTCATCCTTCTCCGCGACCTGTTGCACGATCTGCGAATCAATTTGGGAATCGGTCTCGAGGCCGATCTTTCGGTCAAACTTCGTTTGCGGCAGCATCGTGCAATGCGTATGGTCTGGCACTAAATTTTGCTGTCGATAAACGTTCGCGTTGGGAACATAGTGCTGGCTATGATAAAGGATCGGCTGATAATGGCTGTGGCCGATGACCGGCAATGTCGCGGTGACGTCCATCTCTGGGTAAGAGACGTCCGTCGTGTCTTTAGCGGCGGTCAGCTGATCTTCGACGGGGGAGTGGTCCATTGTGTCTGAATATATGGAATGATTTGGTGATGATGTGTCCATATGCTCCTGTGAGTCAGCGTATGTGTTTTCGGGGTGTGTCGTGTCGGCTGGCTGGTGCATGTCTGTTAGGGTTAGATGACGGTTGCCCTGCTCTACGCCGGTACCAACCTGGATCCCAGTAGTCACCGTCGACTCCACGTAAGTCTTCCCATGGAGACCTGGCTGACTAAGCATGATCTCCTTCGTAGTAACACCCTGAATTCGCCAGTCTTCAGACGCGACCGGCACATCGCCCGAATCCGGTTCGCTACTCGACACGCAATGCACCATCGGCTGCGAAACGCGAATTAACATTTCGAAATATTCGATTATTTTGATAATTTTCAATTAGCAAATTTAATTTAGTTAAAAC